TGTGTGTGTGTGTGTGTGTGTGTGTGTGTGTGTGTGTGTGTGTGTGTATTATAACAAACACTAAAGATATTTAAAAAGGGCACATGAAAACATACTATTTTACAAGCTTCCTATATATGAATACATTGTTTCATTTAAAAGCATTACTTGGAGTTGCTCTATGCATGGCATTAGTGTTTCTCAGAGAAGCCACAGATTGCAAATATAAAGCCCACTGCCAGGTTAGTATACCGCCCCTGAAATTATTTGTTGGGGGTTTCGCAAGAGGCTCCCAAACAGTGCAAACTATTGTTATTGCTCTTGGCTGCTCCTCAGAACTTGATGGTGAAACTCTGTTGCTGAAGACATCACACAGTTTAGTCACAGGACATAAACAAAGTTTGTACCAATCAGAAGCTCCCTACTGGGTGTCTTTCATAGTACTGGAAGGTGCTGTGCACACGGCTGAGTGAGAAAAATTATCAACTGTTTCGCATGTTTGCGAACCGTGTGATGCTGAGAGTGGCAAGATATACCCATGGGTGCATATTATAACTTTTCTAGGAACCCCAGCAAGAAAGAGAGAACAGGCCGAAGGCCTGGTGCCCAGTGAGGAAAAACTTACCTCCCAGAGAGAGATTTCTTTCTCTGGATTCTGTCTTACAATATAGTCACTGAGTGCACATTTTTTGGCTCTTGTTCCATCTCTTTTGCAGTGCTATGTACCTGCTACTGGAAAAGTGGAAAGAAATGGAGACTCCCCTTGGTTTGGGCAAACTGTCTTAACTGTATAAATCTATTGTCTTTCACCAATTTATATTTTCTAATTTCTTTTGGAGCACAGGGAATCTAAGATAGCATGTTAATGAGTGAAATGCCAGGTAGCAGTTATGCCTCAGCTAGCCAGGAGGAAACTCTTGGCTAACCAATCTTTGTGGCTTGAATGCAGGGAAATTCCCAGTTATTAGTAACTAACCCTGACCCACTAACTTTGGTTCCTGGTTTCATGACTCTCTGGAGTCATTTGCTTATTAATCCATACTGATTAACTGAGAAGGCAAAGAACTTTTGACTTTGACCTGGTCTTATTTGTGAAATGTACTATAGTTGTGTGGTTATTATGATTTAAGTTCCTGGTAAACTGTCTGAGTTCATATCTTGGTTCCCTTGTACTCCTGTAATGTCTTTAAAGAATCCAGGTATGCTTTGCAGCCAGTCCTGAAGATACCTGATAAAACAGGATCAGATGAATGGGGAGGAGGTCCCCCCTATCAGTGGACTTAGCAAGGGGCACGGTGGAGAGGAGGGAGGGAGGGACTGGGAGGGAATGAGGGATGGGGACACGGCTGGGGTACAAAGTTAATAAAATGTAACTGATAAGAAAAAAATAAAATACAAAAAAAAAAAAAAAGAATCCAGGTATGTTGGAATGCCTGTCCTTTCGAAGGTTTGATTGAGCTGAATGGCTTTGTATGTGGCAGGAATATTCATATTGTGTTTGTCACAACTCTCATGTTGTTTGTGATTTTGTAGAGTAAGGTCTGACATTTGTCCTTAGATTTTTAGTTTAATTTTTCTCTCCATGTTTAGGAGTGGTAGCCATTTGACCTCACTGTAGGCCACTGCAGTATCAGCAGATGTGAAATGGACTATCTCCACTGTCTGAAGATTGAGTAGTAATGACAGTAGTGTTGATGTTCCTGGGATTTTCAGTGTCATAACCTGGGCTATGGCAGTCCCCAAAAGCTAGGCATGGACATCTACCCTAATATGCCAGTTAAAGAGACGAGTAATAGTGAAAATAAGAGTAAGGAAATGTATTCAGTGCAGCTACACTGTGGGAATAAACTAAAAAAAAAATGGCTCTATTGACACTAAGGTCTACTGTAGGAGTCTGACATAAGTTTTGGGTTAAGTAGGAGGGCAGTAAGTATAAGAGCTGAGCTTTCCTGTCATCTTCCTTTCAGAGCCTGCTACAGGGAGGAGCAAAAGTCAATCTCCTTAGACTATCATCATTTTGTCACAGCAGTTGCAATGTCCTGGGAAGAAGATTTAGAATACAAAAATTCTTAAGAAACTTGTCTGCTTACATTTGAATTCTAATATATTTTGAGATGATTTCTATGTAAGTTATGTTGACATGGGCTATACTAAAGCTATACCATCTTGGTGGCCCTTAAGCAGAATTCTGGGTGACTAGTTCATTAAAGATTTAAGACTGTTCTTTGACAAAACGACAGCCTACAGATTGGGAAAGGATCTTCACCAACCCTATAACTGACAGAGGACTAATATCCAGTATATATAAAGAACTAAAGAAGTTAAACAGCAAAAAATCAAGTAATTCAATTAAAAAATGGAGTACAGAGCTAAACAGAGAATTCTCAATAGAGGAATATCGAATGGCAAACACTTAAAGAAATGCTCAACCTCATTAGCCATCATGGAAATACAAATCAAAATGACCCTAAGATTTCACCTTACACCCATCAGAATGGCTAAGATCAAAAACTCAAGAGACAACACATGCTGGAGAGGTTGTGGAGAAAAGAGAACCCTCCTCCACTGCTGGTGGGAATGTAAACTTATACAACCACTCTGGGAAGCAATCTGGCGCTTTCTCAGACAGCTAGGAATAGCGCTTCCTCAAGATCCAGCTATACCACCCCTAGGCATATACCCAAAAGAATCTCAAGTACACAATAAGGACATTTGCTCAACCATGTTTGTAGCAGCCTTATTTGTAATAGCCAGAAGCTGGAAACAGCCCAGATGCCCCTCAGTGGAGGAATGGATGCACAATTTGTAGTATATCTACACAATGGAATATTACTCAGCAATAAAAAAACAAGGAAATCATGAAATTTGTAGGTAAATGGTGGGATCTGGAAAAGATCATCCTGAGTGAGTTATCCCAGAAGCAGAAAGATGCACATGGTATATATTCACTCATACAGACATATAATATAGGATAAACCTACTAAAATCTGTACACCTAAAGAAACTAATCAAGAGGGAGGACTCTTGCTAAAATGCTCAATTTCTATCCAGAAAGGCAAAGAGGATGGACATCAGAAGAAGGAGAAAAGAGGGAACAAGTCAGGAGCCTGACACAGAGGACCTCTGAAAGGCTCTGCCCTGCAGACTATCAATGCAGATGCTGAGACTTATGGGCAACCTTTGGGCAGAGTTCAGGGAATCTTATGAAAGAAGTGGGAAACAGTAAGATCTGGAGAGGACAGGAACTCCACAAGGAGAGCAACAGAACTAAAAAATCTGAGCACAGGGGTCTTTCCTGAGACTGATACTCCAACCAAGGACTATGCATGGAGATAACCTAAGACCCCTGCACAGATGTAGCCCATGGCAGTTCAATATCCAAGAGGGTTCCATTGTAAATAGGAACAGGGACTGTCTCTAACATGAACTGATTGGCCTGCTCTTTAATTACCTTCCCCCTGAGGGGGAAGCAGCATTACCAGGCCACAGAAGAAGACAATGCAGCCACTCCTGATGAGACCTGATGGACTAGGATCAGAAGGAAGGAAAAGAAGACCTCCCCTATCAGTGAACTTGGGGAGGGGCATGCATGAAGATGGTGGAGGAAGGGAGGGATTGGGAAGGGAGGAGGGAGGGACCCACAGGGGGGATACAAAGTGAATAAAATGTAATTAATAAAGAATTTAAAAAAAGACTGTTCTTTGAATTAATGAAACCTTCCACATCATTTTATATATTAGTCTTTGTCTATGACAATTGTCTTCATAGAAACTGCAACAACAGTCAGAACCATGTGAAATCAGTTCATGGGAAGCAAGTTTTTCCTGTACCTGGCACCAGGCTTCATCCTTCCCCTTCCTCTGGCCTAGTATTCCTGGGATCTGTTGTTTCAACAGTCAGATAGCCAAAGGGAGGGGCGCAGCATTTCTCTTTGGAATATCTCTTCTTCTTCCAGGCAGTTTACAAAAGCTCACCTCTATCTATTATTAAGTTTAATAGGCACCACATGAGGCAGTACTTAAAGCTGACCTTCAAAGAGAAAGACAAGGAAAATCTCTCACTTTACAAGCTGGCAAAGAAAAGGCACAAGTCACCCAAATGGGGGAAAACACTTCAGCAAATATAGAAAGAATGAGATATTTTCCACTAGAGACTCAGGATTTTTAAAAATTTAGGAAGGTACCAGGTGAGCTCAGCCAATACACTTTCCTTTAGATCTCTCCAAGAAAAGGAGCTTTTGCAATGCCTTCCCGATTGCTTCATCTTAGCACTGAAGGATAATTAAAAAACAAAACACTGGATGGTTAATCAGTGGTGTCTTCAGAGAAGCCAAGGAGGGGCATTTTCAGAGTCAAAGTGGGTTACTTGGGCTAGTTCCTTAAAAGTAGCTGAAGCTATGTGGGTGTTGACCAGTGTTTAAGCTTCTATTTATGTTCTGCTTATGATATTTCTCGCAGGTACAGGCACATATTAAGCACTTTTCATGCTAGTCTAGCGATAGATGGCATGACATTACTAAATCCTTTAAGACTGAGCAGTGAACAAATAAGGGCAGATACACAGTGAACCTTTCAAAGTGATCACGACCACAGGAATGGGATAATGAGCTGCTGAAGGCCTGACAGGGAAAGAAAAGAAACTTGCCTCTTATGAGGGATTTCACAAAATCTTACAGCTTGTCTCACAACTAAATCACCATTGCACAGATTTTCCTGCTTTTGTTTCATCTTTCCTATAAAACGGTAACATTGCTACAGGCAAGGGAGAGAGAGAAAAAAATTCAATTCTGTTACTGTTTTTTTCTTTTTAGCATAGGGGTACACCTAAAATGATATGTTGTCAAGCTATGGTTTCTCTTTTCCATATTGAATAAAACTTTTTTTTGTATGTGTTATTTTAGAGTATGCAGTATCCTGGAAGACTTCATTTTACAAATAGCAGTTGATTTTGAGTGCAACACATCAGTGGGCAGGTATACAAACATCTTTCCAGAATTTTGCACAAGATACAGACTGATAATTTTTTTTTCTAGGAGTAAAGAAAGTACTGCCCTATAAACTGACCAAAGTCAATTAGGACCATTTGAGAACATAAAAGTACTAAGATAATATTAGAAAAAAAAAAAACGACAATAAAAACAAGCTTGAGAACTTGTGGGACATATCAAACCAATGATGGGGTGCAATTCCTTCATCTTGAACTTTAATGAAGATATATCCCACCAAGGGGTTGTCAGACAGAGCTATTCCCATCCATCCTACTGACTTCAACTTGGCTTATTGGTGTTTAAATTGTCATTCATCAGCTCACCTACCTGTTTGTCTGTCGTCTGGACCTACTGTCCATTTATCTGTCTGGAGTCCATCCTGTTCTTCACCTCGGCAAGCTCCATGATTGCACACCTTTCTTCTTTATTCCTGAAAGCTCAACTCAAGTCTGTCTCTGTAGCTTGAACTCTGCAATAGCATCTCCAGCAGTGTCCATTATTTTATTTTATTCCCTCAAAGACTTTCTCTGCATTTCTACCAGCCTTCTGCTTGCCTCCAGGCAGTCAGTTCTCAGAACTCTGCTGCAGCTTCTTGAACAGTTTGAAGCCATTCTGTGATTTAAGAAACACATCATATAAGAGATTTACCATGTGATGTGTAATGTGAGATCTGAGAGTTAATGATATTAATTAAGTCTGGAGTAAAATAACTTATGCTTGCCTAAGCTGCTAGCAAGAGAAATCAATCAAGACAGCTTAGAAACTTGAAGCCAATGAAGCTAGTGTGGTTTATGAATTTATTGTCACACAATAAATTCTAATACTGTGTAAGATAAAAACATGTTTGTTTTTGATGCAGCATGCTCACAGCATTCAAGTGTCCAGTAATAAGGCCTTTCTTTTTTAACTTTATCTGTGTTCCTTTCTTATCTGTAAGCTTGAACTATTGTTAGGTAACTAGTTAGAAATTAGACACCTTGAAGGTCATTGAGGATGGATCCTTTCCTTATAATTCTGCATGCTATTTTAAGGAATAGAAAAGTATCACAATTATCCATCCTTAATGGTTAAAACCCCAGGAACTGGACAAGACATCTTAGTCATTAGGGGCACTGGCTGTTCTTCTCGGGAACCTGGGTTCGGTTCCCAGCACTGACACTGTGCTTCACAACAGTTTGTAACTACAAGTTCCAGGGAAATCACTACCTTTTTCTGGTCTCCATTTACAGGGATCCATGTAGTACACAGGCATATATGCAGACATAAACATAAAATAATAATTAAAACCAGATTTTAAATACCTTAGTGTGAATGAGACTTCTTGAAAAGAAGCCGTGTCTGCTAATTGACTGATTAGAACTTCAGTGATGTGCAGAAGTTAGAATAACACAGGTTCTTACCTTAATTATACTTTATTTTGGGATATCTCCTTAAATAGCCATTCTTGCTATTAATTTGTCAGAAGTAGTCTTCAATGACTGATAGATTTAAGAACCTTTTGTCATCTATTAACTTAACAGACTTCTATCTTCCACCAACCTAAAATATAAGGATGTCACCAGCATCCCAGGCCTCTAGGAGGCCTATCTGTTGGAATAGGCCTCTATTCCCCTATCTGTAACCACCTCTCTGATGTAACTGTCAATGGGTGCATTTTAAGACTGCCCCAAGTCATGAATTTCTTTGTTCAGATACTATAAAACTTTGTGAAACTGCTTCTGTATAGGGAAATAGAACCTGGTGATCACTCAAATTTGACTTCAGAATAAACCATTTCTTATTCTCTTTTAGGTGAGATTTGTTTATTTGAATTGACAGTATGAAAGATAGGTGTAGACTATGGAAAATGGAGAAAGGTAGCAATAGCAAGGCTTTATTGAAACCCTCTAAGAAAAGGCTATTTCCTCCAGGCAAAGCATTGAGATATTTATACATTACTGTTAGTTTAATTTTCACTTGATTTGTGTACTGGCTAGTTTTATATCAATTTGGTACAAGCTAGAGTCATCAGAGAGAGGGGGTCCTCAGTTGAGAAAATGCCTCCACAAGATCCAGCTGCAAAACATTGTCTTAATTAGTGATCAGTGACAGAGGGCCCAGTTCATTGTGGGTGGTGGTATCCCTGATCTGGTGGTTCTGGGTTCTACACAGAAAGCAGGCTGAGCAAGCCTTGAGGAGCAAGCCGGTAAGAATACCCTTCTAGGGCGAGTGCATCAGCTCCTGCCCCTAGGTTCCTGCCCTGCATGAGTTCCTGACCCCACTGCTTTTGATGATGAACTGTTACATGGAACTGTGAATGAAATCAACCCCCTTCCTCCACAAGTTGCTTTTGGTCATGGTGCTTCATCATATCAACAGTAACCCTAACCAAGACAATTTGTTACATGAATTATGGAGACAAGAATAAAATCACAGTTGTAACTCTCTGTGTTCTGAACTACTGGGCGATAATAAGATTACTTCCTAACAAAAGGCTTTCTGGAAAAACATCAGACATTGTATTTTCTCCTCCATGATCGCATAAGAGTTATTCTAAATGGGCTTGTCAATCACTCAGATAGGAAGATGCCTCCCGGAAAGTAGACTGCTTGGAGATTTAGAAAATCTAATGAAGTTGGTACAGTGGTTTCTCTTGATATTGTCTACTCTCACTCTGCGAAGGTGTCTCAGTCTGTAAGGATATTTTCCTCCATAGTGGGTTTTTTGTTGCTGTTGTTGTTATTTCTCACTCTCATTCATAATAGTGTTTCATATTACTCTATAATAAGCATCACCTATATTCTATATTACACTCTGCTTGTCTTGTATGAGTTCTTTCAATGGTGTAACAGACATCTGAGACCCAAGGGGAAGTCGGAGAGTAACAAACACATGCCATAAAAGTCTCATTTCAAAACAAACACACAAACCCAAAATACTTTAGTATAAGAGAAACAAGAAAGCAAGTAAACAAGCCCATTTTAAAACTGCTTAATCTTTGAACCTGATTATGAATTTTGTGCTTTAAAAAGACGACTGAAGAAGCACACGGAACTACCCAGACTTTTAGTGCATACTTTTCTTTCTTTCTTTCTTTCTTTCTTTCTTTCTTTCTTTCTTTCTTTCTTTCTTTCTTTCTTTCCTTTCTTTCTTCTTCTCTTTCTTTTTCTCTTTTATTTCCAGACATGGTCTTCTGCACTTCAGATTGTTTTCAAACTTACAACAAAGTCAGGAATAAACTGGAACTCTCGATCTTTCTGTCTTGACAGGAATAAAGATATTCATGTTTTTGTTATTCATTTTTAATTGAATACAGATTTTTCATACAATATATTTTGATTGTGTTTTCTTCTCTGTCAACTCCTCTCAGATCCTCCTCACCTCCCAAAATCCACATCCTTTGTTTCTCCCTCTCATTAGAAAATAAAGCCATCTTAAAAAAATTAAAGAAAACTTGAATAGAACAAAACAAACATAAAAACAGTGAGCCAAAGAAAAAGTATGGGAAGAACAACTAGAAATAGAGATGCACACACTGATATATATATATATATATATATATATATATATATATATATATATCCCCCCAAAACACAAAACCAGAAACATGTCATATAAGCAAAAAACCTGCAAAGGATTAACAAAAAAAAAAAAACAACAAAACAAAAACAAAACAAAAAAACAGACAAAGCACTTTGATTTTTTTATAGATATATAATTATCTATAAAAAATATAGATAAAAATTATCTATATAAAATAATATATAATTATTTTTTATGTTAATCACAGGTTATTTACTTTGTATCCCAGTCATAACCCCCTCCCTCATTTCCTCCCATTCCCACCCTCCCTCCCTCATCTCCTCCTTGCCCCTTTACAAGTCCATTGATAGGGGAGGACCTCCTCCCCTTCCATCTGACCCTAGCTTAGCAGGTGAAACATACACACACCCCTCCAAAATACCATTGAGAGTATTTTTGTGTTGACATTTTAAAGAGATACTGTACCCTTTCTTTGGATATTGGATCATTGAAATTGCAAACCCCAAGAAAATGGAAATTCCCTAGGACTTTCATCCTGGAAGAAGTAAAAGACTGAAGCCTGGTGCCAGCTAGAGGAAGAGCTTGTCTCCTCAAAGAGCTTTCACAGAGTGCTGACAATCTGACAGGCCACGCTGTGAGAGAGGGAGGAACAGAGACAGTGATGATGGGCAGCATTCGACCAGGAGTGCTTTGTTGTATGAACTTCAGTCAAACTTCATGCTATAACCCTGAACTTGGACACTCTAAGGTAAGCTGAGCTACTCAGAGGAAAATCAAACCGTCAGAGCAGCCTGAAACAAACAGAGACCAGGCAGCCTTCCCAGAAGAGGCCCAGACTGAGACTTGATAACCTACTGAGCTGCCCGCGGGTTGTGGAGTACATTCCAGGTTTCCTTTTGTCAGCTGTCACTCACCCTGGGGTTGCCTTTTGGCCTCTGCTCCTGTAAGTGATCACAATAAAACTTACTTGGTTCACTAAGGTGGACTTTTGTTCCTAATCATACTTAGGTCTGCGGCCCGCTCCCTATCTGGAGTTTATTCATGCTTCTCCCGGAATAGTGTCACACAGCACCTCTAACCTCTAATGGGACCTGAGGCCAGGGCCTGACCTTGGGCTGTCTCAAATGTCCAGTTTTATCGTGAACAGCTCTCCAGATTTGTGGATGCCTTTGGCTATACCCTATCTGAATGGTTGCTAAGTTACTCCGATGGAATGCTGCTTGGAATTGCTTGGCAGCTGCTGAGTTCGACTGATTGCTCCAAGTTCATCGTTAGGAGGAGACTACAGCTTAATCTTTTGAAAAATTTTTATAATTTTTTTTTAAATTTCTGCTTTTTTCCTTTTCATCACATCACATCACTTATATATGTGAGTATGTGACACACACATATACACATACATATAAATGGAAACAAATGCACAAAGGCCAAAGAACAACTTTCAGGAGCTGGTTCTCTTCCTCCACTATGTGGTTCTTGGGGTTGATCTCAGATTGTCAGACCTGATGTCAGGCACTTTTATCCACTGAGCCATCTCACTGACTTCTCTCTCTCTCTCTCTCTGTTTTACATTGAAAGTGTTCTCTTTTCATGCACTTAGTGCCGGAAGAAAATTGACACTTCATGTTCTGAAGTGAAATTCCATCTTTAAAATTCAAAGCTTGCTTTCCTTTTTAATATCATTAACTATAATAAAAGAAGGTGATAGCAACTGACTCAGAAAGGAAGGTGGCACAGCCTCCATTGAAGAAAGCTCATTTCTAAAGGAAATTATAAATTATGTGTGACTATGATTAAACTTTGAGCAGGAAGAAGAACATTAAACAGGAAAAATACAATATGTAGAAATGTAATTACAATGGGGCTTTAAAGAGGAGTGGTTTCCCTTTAGAACTTGAAGAAGAACTTTGTTAAAGAGTGAGAATAAGAAAATGAGCAAGAGAGACAGGGGCTTGAGAGGGTCAGTGACAGGGAGACCTACCATAAGATATATGGTTGGGGTGTGGGTTGGCGGTAAGGTGAGGACTTCCCAGACAGAGTAAGCTTCAGAGACCATCCCTGACCAAATTTTTCTGAGAACTCTCTATACTAAGGCACTGAACAGATATAGGGCTTTTCAAACTTTTTAAGGACAGCAGGGAGTTTCACATTACAAGATTCAGTTCAACACAGTGGACGTAACAGAAAGCACAGAGCAGCCAGGTACCATAAATTGGGAGCTGTGAAGTTGTAGCACAAACTGCTTCACTCTCTGTCACAGGGAGTGCTGCAGGGAGCTATCGCCTGATTCAGGCTGTAAAACCGACGTAAACTAGCAGGCTCTTATTCTAGAAAACATATTGCTCTGTATTTTATTTAGGTGGATTTAAATCTAGTAGATTTATTTTATTTTTTCTTTAACTGATGATTTAGTGATATAATGAATAATTGAAAGCTGAAAGACTGGATAAGTAAAATAGAAAAAGAAAACTGAAAAAATATTTTTTACTAACAACAACCCAGGATAATTGTTGCTGCCTCAATCTTGTTGCATGTCTTCCCAAAATCCATGTTATCACTATTTTTAAAGATGAAAACATGTCTCTTTATGCTGCTTTAGATTTGCTTTTTTTGTTAAGAAGTACATTATGAGCATGTTTTCTTGCCAAGCAAATATTATAACAACTGTGAATTCATCTAATGTTCCCTTAGATGAGTATGTTGTACTTCCTCAAGCCCATTCAGATAGTCAAGCTCTTTATATTTTTTCACATTTAAAAACACCGTGACATGAGTATTCAAATGCATTTTTCAAAAGTAGCTCAATATTTTGTATGCATCTGTAGCTACTTCTTTCATATTATTTAGAAAGCTAATTACACATTCAGTTGTGCTAATTGCACTGATTTCTTTTGTTGTTGCTGGCCAGGAAAAGACCAAAATAAGTAAGTTACTCTTCTACCTCCAAAATAGAAAAGTGCATCAAAAATATGTTACGAAGAGATAGGAGGAATAAGCCGCTTCTGCAAAATTCAACTCCCAGAAGTATCAATTAGAGTTGCATGGCCCGTTTCACTGGGCATTTTAGCTCAGAAGGTGTGGAGAGCTAAATGGCTCTCTAATGTAGTTTTGTCAAACTGAATCAGTTAGAAAAATAAGAATAAAGCTTAACTTACAGAGCGAGAGTGGAAAATAAGAGTGTCAGTTTTAACTCAAATCCATAAGAAAAACAACTTCATTGCTGCATGTTAATGGTGAATTGCTATTACAGTCCTTGGCTGGAGCCTGATGGGAACATCCTGGAACCTGCTTGCTCCTGAGCTGCTGCACAAAACACAAGGCTATGAGGAGCTAATAACTGAGCTAATAATAGAGTCCACAAACAGGAAATTGCTACCTGTTTTCTTTCTTTCTTTCTTTCTTTCTTTCTTTCTTTCTTTCTTTCTTTCTTTCTTTCTTTCTTTCTTTCTTGCACTTGTTCTTCACTTGCAGACGAGCAGTTGGAGGAAACAGTTCTGGAAGAAATCTGTCAAGCAGTTTGCTGGAGGCTGTCCATCCAAAGCCCATCACAGAGGACAACTGTTCAAATAGCAATTAAAAGTAGACGGTGAAAACCTAAAGTCAACATGTTGACATCACCTCTGATTATGAATTGTTAAAAGTAGAGAAAAATAAGTGCGTGGTTTAAAGGCATATGGCAAGTGCAATTTTATTTCTAGAAAACTTTTCTGGTATTAAAAACACAATAATAATTTTTTAAAAATCAAATCAAAATTCTGACAGTTCTTACTTCAATTTATTTATCTAAAATATATATTATAAAATAATGTATGGATGTTTATATATTTCAGATATGTCCATTTGTGATATAGGAATATTAAAATACAAAACAAAACATACTAGGCATTATAGAAAATATAATGGATGATAATGACCAAGTTATCTGTTTTAAGAGAGAATCCCTTATCAGTATGTCAAGGCCATTTATAATTACTCCCCAAGTGCATCAGGACATATATAATGAAAATAAATAACTATTTTATATATTTTAAGATTTGCATAAATGAAATTATACTGTATGAATTTCTGTGTAAGTTGTTGGAAAACTCCAGACAACTCAGGTTCTTGACAAGGTTATTGGTTGCTTTCCTCAAAGTGATGGTAAGGTCTTGTTGTTGAATAGAACACCTCCATATGTCCTTGATTACGGCAATGTTGACCTGCTGTGATCTGCTGCTATGGTCCTGGTTTCCCAAAACCCTGGGAACAGGAAAGAGAGTTTTACTCCTCCAGGGGGAAATGCCATGGTATCTTACATAATTTGGATGTCCCAGTAATCCAATGTAGTCCTATTAAATGATCATAGTAATGAGATGGAAAGTCTGCACTCAGTCATAGGAAGAAACAGGGTAAACAAAAATTTAACTACAGGGTTTGCCAATATTTAGAATAATTTTTAAAAATAAAAGACAGAAGAAATTGTGAACAAAAAGAGAGCCGCTGAGACAAAAGCATGTATCTGGCACCTTATGATGAAGCTGTGGTACAGATTTTGCTGCTTTATGGAAAATGATCTTCTTAAACTTTCTATTTACATATGCTTAATTTCTCAAATACATCCAGACTGTACTGTAATCGGAATGTTCCAATGACTCCTTCCCATTGAAAACACTAAAAAACAGTAGCACTTGTTTGAGGTTTTTAATGAATTGATAAACAAAGACTTAAAGACATATACAAAAAATAAATGCTCTTATGCCACCCAGAACTCATTATTCAGTATTAGTTTTGATACAAATAAAAAGAATATTATGCTTAATACAATTCAAAGTGATGATGGAATTGGTGATCAGATGGGTTGTGAAAACAATAGAACTAGTGTTGTAAAGCTTACAGCATACATAGACTCTTAGGTGTCTCCAATGCACACCTGTGTGAGGGTTAGGAAGAAAAGGAGGTGCTCAGAAAGATAGACAAGGATGAGTACACACTTCCCAAGGGAGAGTAACATACTCACGTGTAGTATGAGCTTTCAAAGAAGAGTTGTAGCTAGTGAGACACACTCCAGTGTGGACTCTGGGCTCTTCAAGGGAGAGTGACAATTAATTGCCTTGACATTAGCTTTCTATGCCCTCTCAGTGGTTCTCAAGGCACACCTCAAAAGTTTCTAAGATGCTTTTATTTCTTTTTTTTTTCTATCTTTTTGACAGCTACAGATATTTTGTGAGTTGGGAATTAAATCTAGCACCTCTGGAAGAGCAGTCAGTGCTCTTAACCACCGAGCCATCTCTCCAATCCCTATCTTATTTTTCATTTCAACTGAAATGATATTATTTTATCAAATTTATTTACCAGTTTTATGTTACTTGGGGAATAATCTTCTGTATAATTATAAAGAGCTTAGAAGCAGCAACAAAACCTAAATAAACCTTCCTTACTTGTCAGCAAAAAGAAGTAAAATCTACATAAACTTTGCCTTTCCACAATTTTTTTTTCGAGATGAGGTTACTCTGTATAGCCCTCGCTGTCCTTACACTCACTCTGGCCTCAAATTCACAGAGATCCACCTGCCTCTTTCCCCAGAGTACTGGGATTAAAGGCATGCAGCACCACTTCCCAGCTCCTTTCCACAATTCTTAATTTCCAAGAACAGCATTATTCGTTTTTAAAGAGAAAATGGAAAACGTACAGACATTCTGTTAATCCTAGGAAATCAAAAGGGATAAAACACTAGTTTGTCTTCCAAGAATGTAGAGTTGATTTCATAGGAATACAAACTTCAAAAGAAGGGTTCCATATAAAAAACAAAACAAACCAACCAAACAAATAAATCAGTAAGGACCTAAGAAGAACCCCACAGAAACCAACAAAAGAATTTATGAAACTTCATAATTTTTTTTTTCCTTTAATGAAAAAGGACAGTGAAAGAAGTTTCAAGAAGGAGTCGGGATTTGAATTGTTCAGAGAAAGCAAGGGATTCCTTAACTCATTCACTTTCACTTTTTTCATTTAAGGTTTTTACTGATTATTTTCTTAGGATTTTGTGGTCCACAAAGTATGAATGTCGATAAAGATATCTTCATATACTTACTTTGTTCTTGCCTTCACTTCAAATCACTTCCGTATAAACAAAGCAGAAAAAGGGTTGATCAGGAAATCAAGTATAAAAATGACTGGGGCTCTCCCAGGAATTCTACGCTTCCACTCAAGGGAATGACAGATATGTTAAGTCAGTCTGAGTGCATTGGCAGTGCTAGGGGTTGTATAGAGATCCGCATGAGTATTCCAAAGTCTGTACCACCACAGCATCAGGAGGTCGGTGCTCGTACAAAATTATATATTTCTCTGTGTTATTCTCTCTAATCGGGTTAAGTCAAGACTTCAAGACAGAAGATTTAGTACTTACTTATTACAAATGCTTAATGCAGTGTTAAGTTCTTAATGGAACTTACCTTCGTAGGTAGTTTTAAAAAGGTACACAATGGGTGGTGCTTCCAGGAGGAAGATGTACTCAATGAATACAGCTGTGTCTTGTTCCTAAGTTGACAGAGGTCTGTTCTTTTGGAATAGAGAATAGAGAGACAGACATGATGGCCAAATACGCTGTAATCAGTTCATAGATGCAATCCACGAAGATTATTTTATTATAGAGAAAAGTATTTTATCATTGTATTATGATATTCCTGAGTTGCTAGAGTTTGTTGAAAAAAACGAAGACAATATTTTTCAAGAAGTTTAAACTGGCTACAATGGGTAGTATATTTGGGGGAACCCAACACTTCGAAGAGAAAGTACTGAGGTAGCCTTGTATCTTATTTCACAAAGCAGGAAGGATACAACAAAGATGAAGACTTTTCAAGGGCCAAAGAAAGAAGAGATAGAAATGATAACATGTAGAAACTTGGACAGAGTGTAATGGTGGAGTAAATGATTGGCTGAAACAAGATGGGAGAAGAAATAGAGATTACTAAATACCAATTTTGACTTAGATTTTCAAGGGTACAGAGGCCTGAAGCAAAATACTTTTATTTGTTGATGACATCTTAGAGAAGCAATAATGAGGGTAAATGGATGACAAACAGAGAAGGAATAAAATAAAACACCAGGTGGTCACAGCTGTAGAGGAAACACAGATGGTTACTCAGCCACATTAGAATTTTTTGGAAGGGCTGTATGAAATCACTTTGGCTTGTAACCATCTAATAGGGGCAAGAGAAGAATTAAGTAGATTTTATCTGCCAGACACCTGCTTTCTCCATCTTCTATCACTCCAACTTTATTTCATAGAACATTAATTTTCAAATACTTAATGAGTATGCTTCTCAAATTTTTGGTCTATCTTTAATGTATCCAAATCCCCAGACAGATCTGAATGTATCTGAGTTTCAAGGTGAGTCAGCTAGTTGGTGTTATGGAGCTCCTTCTTCACCACTTTGCCTCAGGAACTGTCTAGGAGGGTCCTTACAATTGCCTAGACTTGATACTTTATGTCTTTTAATGGCTGAAAAGCATCTGGAAGGACCCAGGTAGGAAGTTAGAGTGTAGAGAGGTATCAGAAATGTAAAGAGTGTCTCTAAAGAGATCTGAACACAAAGAGGGACTGACTCTGCACCACCTTCTGCCAGTTTTGTTGTTGTGGTGGTGGTTGTTGATCCCTCCCCACAAGGCAGAGGCAAAGTCTCCTTTGTGATTGTAAGGGTGTGGGTTATTCCAGGTTGTCTTTGTTGTTGTGAAAAACTGTGTGCAGGGCTGCAGAGATGACTCAGTGTATAGGGATGCTTGCTTTTATATAAGAACAGAACCCCTTACCAGCATGGGAGACTCACAACCTCCCATAAATCTCCTAGCTTCTAGGGGCCCACTACCTTTTTCTGACTTCCATGGGCGTTTGCACTCATGTGCACACATATACCAAGGTCAGTTAAGTGAGGGAATGAAAGTGCTGAGGAAACTTACCATTGGAATGGAGAATAAAATAAATGCATAAACAAGACTGAGCTTTATAGTTAACAGATTCCTGATCTTTTAGAGATTATATGCTAAGAGGAATAAGATCATCAATAAATAACAAAAACAATGAATTACAACTTAGTAACATGAATAAAAAGGAAGTAGAGAAAGAGATGGAATTCCATTGGTAAGCATAGAATGAACTGTAAATTTTCCATGTCTTCCGGGTCTCTGCTACAAGCCAGATTTTGCAGTGTTGACAACACAAGGTAGGGAAAGGTTTATTTAGCTCATAGTTTCAGTTCATCATGGCAGAGAGGGCATAACACAGCATCTCATGTCATGGCAGAGAGAAAGTAGAGGAAAAGGAGGACCAGGCATTCAAATGTGTATCTCTATTGCCTTACTTCTTCTAGACTCTTGAGTCCAGAGAGATCCTGTTCCAAACATTTCTACCACCTCCCAAAATTACACCACCAGCTACCAACCACCAATCATTTAGAACCCCAAGCACAGGAACCATCACACATTCAAATTATAATATGAAGCATCTGAGGAAATGCAGCCAGGCTGGCTGTTCCTTCCTGCTGCCTTGTGTTGCTGGAACCTTTTCTGAACTGTAGAGCTGGGAAGCTCAACTTCTCCATGATAGCCAGAAGTAAGGATCACACACACACACACACACACACACACACACACACACACACACACAATGTACAATGCTTCTAGCATACAGGGATCTGTATACAAAGCATCAGCTATACAGATTCTTGGTCACAAAGAAAATATGTTTACTCAGTATGATCTTAGTCTAGGAGGGATACTCTCAGATGGAACAAGTGAAACTTACCTGTGTACCTTTGTGACTTATGTCTGTAGGAGCATAGGCTCCCACTCCTATAAAACTCTTTCCCTGAGGTTTAAGTAGGGGCTTGAACCCAAAGATCTCAGTAACAAAATACATTCTGAATAGCTGATACAAGGATTTTTTTTTGAGGACAAAATCCAGTTTTCTTATTAAAATGCCTGCCTGGATAGATTCTTGAGAATTCACAGGCTTTAATGAGAGCTTTAGACTTGAAGGCAAAAGTCTGAGTCATTTGTTTTCTTCCTTGAGGAATCAGGGCACCCTAGGCTTTGATCTAAGTTATGTAGGAATTATGAGTAGTTGTGAGTCTGATTAAAGGCAGGAATATTATTTTTTTTTAACATCTTAGAATTCTTTCTTTATGTTCCCTGTGTGTTTTGTATGCGTGTGTCTATGTGTACCATCTGTGTACCTGCTGCCCACTGGTTCAGAAGAGGGGTTTGCATCCCTGGTGTCTGTAGTTACAGATGGTAGTAAGCCACCGTGTGGGTTTTGGAAACTGAACCTGGGATTCTGCAGGAATGGTAAGTCCTCTTAACTTCCAGGCATAGATTGGTTCAACTGAGAAAGAATATTATTAACAGAGCTTACTTGTTTGTTAATTTATGGCATACATACAACACTGCATTGTTCACATATCCAAAGAGAATTATTATCCCCAGCATGAATTTATTCCCAAAAAGTAAGGAAGAATTCTTTGATAAATGTTTCCTGAATATCTAGAATAATGAAATAAAAAAAAGACTTTACCAAGATCAAAACAAGTTTTTTTTTTTAAATTAACAACCATAGAAACAAGTTGTAAAACCTAAAATCATTACAGGAAGGTCCCATTTACTTTATCATTCTAATAATAAATAATTTGAAGTAGCAAGGGGATTTATAATAAAAGATAAACACAAAGCCCAGAAATATTGATGTGATTGTCAGTATTATTTGAGAAAGCTTCTTGATATCTCTGTGGCTTATACATATTTGTTTATAAGAGCTCAG